AATCCCAATAATGGTAGTGTATTAGTTCAGATTTCAGCAATTATACTTGCATCTATGCTATCAAAGGCCCCGGAATACTTTTTTAAGGAATCTCTTTTGCTTTAAGCTGTGCATCAGTAGCTACCTTGGGTCAACGAGAACCATACAAAGGAGGGTCTATGATTATGTCTACAGTGTCAGGCTTTTATCAGATTTACACGTTGGTGATGATGAATTTCGTATGTTGGGTGTCAGGAACATATTTCTCTCTGAGTACAGACTCCGATACAAGCCCAGTCAGGCATCTGAATGGAGGCTGCATGAGACTGTGGGAAAAGCAGGGAAAATTCATCATCACAGCCTGAAAAGCACACAGCATTGTCAGACAGGATAAAAATGTGAAATCTTACCATAGGTTGTTTATTAGAAACACATCTAAAATTTACATATACTCACAGAACAGTTTTCAGTAGAAGAAAAGGGTGGGGGGGAGGTATACCAGTCAAACATTATGCAAAAGATGTCAGACAAAATTAACTTTAAAGAAAAGAGCATTACTTGATATTCTCCAAGAAGACAAAATTTAAAAATGAAGTAATGGAATGTTTCAAGTGTCTCCTGTGAGCTGGAATTCTTTTCATTTTTATACTATTTTGTCAAGGCAAATGGATTTTTTTGTGTGTGCTTTCTAAGTGGAATTAATTCCTAGTAAGTTTATAGTGCTTCTTATCAGAAACAGTGATATTTCATATGAATTCCTTTACATTAATTTAGATGATCAAGTCTCAGTGGTCCCACAACCTTTCTTAATTTTCAGCACATAAATTATCAACATTACTCAAAATCTTAGTTTCCTTCTATACCAGAGTGGCATGGGCCCAAGGAATAAAATCTTATTCTAATCGCCTAAATGTTTACAGGATTAGTCTGTTAAATATGCCATCAAATATTTAGGGAGACTGTTTTGTAACAAATATAAACATTTATTTTATAGTATTGTGTTAAGCATCTTTTTAAAGGAAGAAAACAAACTTGGACATTGGATCAGCAACACCATTAGTATAAGATAGCTAGCTGTTGCACTCTGTACTGTTTCATGAGCCTAGGGAATTTAGAATATTCTGACATGGCCCATGCTGAGCACTCCAGAGTTAGTTTTCTATTTTGTCATACAACAAATTAACAACCTGTGGTGATAACACGGTTTTGAGCCCAAGGTAGTCAAAGCTATGAGAGTCAGCTCCAAAGAACTACTGTCTCGCAGATTCTGAGAAATTCAAATTTAAATGAATGCATCATCTCCAAATCCACTCCTTGGAGACATATGATGATGATGATGATGATGATGATGATGATGATGATGATGATGATTTCTTTTTGTTATCAGGTAAGACTCACAAGATTGGGGCAACACCAAGATAATGAAACACTGCTTTTGAAAAAAGGAATACCTAAAACATTAGCTATAACTTTTATCACCCTTACATTATATTTGTGAAATTCAGACTATTTTTGCTCAGAGATGGTTCTATAAATCAAGTTTCTTTTGTTTGCAGTGATGTTCCTTTTTACATGTTGTTTATGTATGACCAACAATGAGATAAGATGTAAGGAAGTTGTTTTCTCTTATTGCCCTGAGACCAACTCGGCTTAAATGTACAGATATTTTCCCGATTTAGAAATGCTTAGAAGTAAACTATAAAAGCAGGGGGCCTGGGAGTAAGAACAATTATATTTTCTTCTTTCATCAAAACCAAATTTAAAATGTTCATTTGGATTTTACTATAGAACTGTGCTAGTTAGTTTTATAGTAAAATACAATGCTAAGACCAACTGTGGCAGTGATTTATACAGATTTATTATAGATTATAAAAAAATAAAAATGCTATGGAAGTTTTGCTATATTTACAATGGTACGTTTATATACACGCAAATACACCTCAATATTAATGATAAAATCTTATGGTTTTAAAGAGGCACATTTCCTCCTACCCACCCATTTCCATATATTCACAACCATAAGTTTTCATAAGCAATGTTTAGATTTATGAAGGAAAAAAATGAGTATTTCCAACACCTAACCTCTTTCCTTTCTTCCTTTCCAGCTTTGGGAGACACAAAAGCACACAGAATGTCATGCACAAATTAAGGTTTGTAAGACCTATGATCCATATTCACATATATCCAATGAGTTGGCTGCAATAGGTCAGAAGAATTTTGAGCAAAGCAATGTACTTGCATTGTAAAACACTGAATAAAAGTGATCCTCTGGGGCGCCTGGGTGGCTCAGTTGGTTAAGCGACTGCCTTCGGCTCAGGTCATGATCCTGGAGTCCCGGGATCGAGTCCCACATCCGGCTCCCTGCTCAGCGGGGGGTCTGCTTCTCCCTCTGACCCTCTTCCCTCTCATGCTCTCTGTCTCTCATTCTCTCTCAAATAAATAAAATTAAAAAAAAGTGATCCTCTGCAGACGCACATACACCCATAATATAAGAAACATGTTTCTTAAAAGTAGCATTTTAACTATCCTGTAAAACCCTAAGAATGAATCACCGATGAATACTTTTACACTGTAACTGTTGATCATGATTAATCAATAAAGTCTCCCATCTAGCCAAAAACAACCAGAAAAAAAAAAAGGAACAAGATGGAAAATAATACAAGTTAGTGATTGTGAAACAAGAAGGAATTCAAGATATGTAAATATCTTGAATGTTAATACACAAAGATAATGATTATAAGAAGATATCTGAACCCACCCATACTATTGAATAGCTCTCATATTATGTAGCCCTGACTTCATGGGTACCTGAGAGTTTGGCCTGTTTCCAAGAAAGTACTTGAGCCATAATCTTTTGTAGCAGAGAAGCAGAGAAAGACACTTCCAAGTGGGTACCTGTACTCCAATTTGCCAGTAAGACTTTTCCTCCGTGACTATTTATGTTCTTAATTTCTCAATCAAACCTAAAAATAAAATCAATTCTCATCTTTTTGATATTGCTAAATCATTTAAAAGTTGCAGGGCATGAATACTAATATATCTGAAATGCCTATATATAATCATCTTTTGGATAAAGGTAACAGCACACAGTCTTCTAAGGACTTGTTTTGGTTTCAGGGCTTTGAAAAGTAACGATTGTGGACCAGTAGTCTTTCCACACCATTTTCTCAAGTTTCCTTGACTAGGAACCTTCAGCCTGATAAGGCCCAGCACCTCTTCCTCATCAGTTTTATTCTGCAACATGGCGACAACATGGTTTCAAGGGTAATTTCCAATTACACCAGATCTGTAAATTGTGAGTCATTGAGATTATACAAAATGGGATTTGGCTTCTCTTCAAGTTTCACATTCATCACATAATCGGGATATGAAGCATCCCATACAGAGGAAGTAGCATCCAAAGGAAGGAACGTGCTTAAATAATACACACTACCCAATTTTATAGCTGTCCTTTTATATTCAAATGATATTAAGCACACTGTCATGTTAAGTTGAAAACATTTTAGATCTAAAAATATACTGTTGAAATAAATGACATAGTGAGAAACAAGACCAAAATCTATTTTTATAAAATACAGTCTATAATTTCAGATACAAAAATGCTACATACAACCATACTTAGATATCTTCTAAATTATAATCTGAGATTTATATTTTTTAAAGTTATCTCTGGTGAATTTCAAATTTAGTATTTTTACAGAGTTTAAATCTCTATATTGAACCTTTATGTTTCTTTTTAAAACTGGAACTGAGCAAAAATATAATTCTAAAACAAGATTCCTGACTTCAAAGAACTGTGTCTTCAGATAACCTTTCTCCTTAAATCATTAGAACCAATTTCCTTAAAATTATACTTCCTCTTTTTGACTGAGCAGCAAGTAGAAAAATTCATGATTTGGACTTCATTTTGATTTTCTTCTGGTTTTTGGATTCCTTTCTGCTATTTTGACATCACTATTATATTTTATCATACCTTTTCTCAAAACAAGTTGCTCATTGTATGTTGCTTTCAAGTATGTTATTGAAATATAACTTGAAGAAATTGAGCTTCTTGCTTCAATTTTCCTTAAGCATCAGTGATAAGTTCAATCATAACAATTGCCAGATTTGTATTTTTTATTCTGGATTCCCAATTATATAGGACAATTGAGGGTAATTCAAAGTGTTTCAGAATCACCTACTGCCAAGATTCTGGAAAACGTCTTTCGCAAAACAGAATGTTAATGCTCTGAGGACTCTATTATATCTGCACCAACACGTTCTGTGCACTTTTATGGAATGAGAAGGTAATGGGCTAGGTTCATCATAGCTACTATTGTAATGCCACGATGTGCTGACACTCTGTCAGTCAGCAAATACTGAAAACCTATTTTGTTTCAATTTTTAGTTATATGTATTTGAATATTATTAATTTCTAAAGATAACTAGTATAAACTCAGGAGGATCAGTTAGATATACATTTAAGTGTATGGTCTTATACAGATCTTATGAAAGTATTGCAGACCATGAATATCTGCATCTAAATGATTAAAGGAAATAATGTCCCTTAAGAATTGTCTAAAATGAGAATAATTCAATAGATGCTTTAGTTCTTAAATACCTCTTTATTTAAACTGAACTGTTGTAGGGAGCTATAAGTAAGATCAATTTTTGGTCTGTTTCACAAAATAGCAAGTTTTATCCTGTTACCATGCTTGATACTTTAAAAACTCTTAACCTTATCCTCATCTGCAATGAAATATTTTGGTATATTAATATCTTTCTGGTAGTAGTAGTCAGTTGTAATAACCAGCATGTGCACGCATGCACACACAAAGAGATGACAATGAAATAAAAAGGCCTAATAAAGAGTATGTTAATAAACTTCATTACAGAGAGGTGGCCAAGGAGGAAAGTCATGACTCCTTTTTCCATTTTATAAAACAGACCACAAGTAGTATTTTGCAAGGCTACAAACTTTTCTTTTCCATTTGCACCATTTTTTTTGGTAGAAGTAGGACTTTCTTTCTTTCTCTCTTTCTTTTTTTTTTTTTTTTTGCATAAGCATCTACAAACTCTAAAGGTAGGCAAATAAGAACTATGAGACCAGTGAATTACTTTTAGCTGCTTCTGCTATGCTAATCAGGTGAGAGAAATCTGGGTTTCATATTAGGAGCCCTTCTAAATGGTTTAATTCCTTTACAGCTACCATTAGCTGTCAGCTTCAGCGTGGATATTGTCCATGTGCACTTTGAGGTAGTCATTCCTTGTAAACTTCTTATGGCAAAACTGGCATTCTGCCAGTGGACGATTGGGATTGTGAGTCATCTTGTGTCGGATCAGCATTTTCTTTAGGCTAAAAGCCAAGTCACAAACCTAGAAAAGACCCAAAGATACCAATCATATTATACTGAAAAACCTGAAGATATGCCAATTTATCATTTATACAATATACATTATGCATAGTCCTATTATCAAGTATATACGGATGGGCATAAGAACAAAAATTGCTTGAAATAAATGGAATTTAACATCCCAACTTAAGGGTAAAGAAAATTAATTATAGTTCCCAAAAGCTGTTTGCATTTAATGTGTGTGTCCTTTACACCCTAACCACCCTCCTTCCCCCCCCCACTACTGTATTTAAACATGTCTAGAGAAACAACTCCTGGGGAACACTATCTTTCTTCCCATGATGGAGTGTATTGACAATTTTATATTAAACCTCTTAAACAAAATGCCTAATGGCCCAGAGGGCATCTCTCCATATGACATAAATAGCACAAGACATGTCTCACCAGTGATCCCTTCAATTTAGTCCCATTTATGAAGTAAAAGGTTAACACTGCTTTAAGCATCCTAAGTGGAAGTTTTTTACCCACAATTCCAATTCTTTATTTCTTATTATATACGCTCATTTAACTAAGGCATCCAATGTTTACTTCATATAAGCTCTGCCACATCGCCACCTGGCCCAACAGACGTTAACAGTCTAATAATTAAAAATACTATATTACCACAGAAGATGTAAGGTTTTCCTTACATCTGCCTCAGGACTTGCCCACTTCCCTTGATGTAGCTTCCTCTTACTAACTCCTTGGGGAAGCCTATATGATCTGTCTGCCAGAAGTCCCCTGTTAATTGCTTTCATAGTAGCTTTTACTTTTCCTTTATAACACTTACCCTGAATGTAATTAATTATTAGGTGATTTTCTTTATGTCTGTCTCCTTACCGGTCTAAGAAACATTAGGGCAAGAGTAGTCATTCCATAAATATTTGTTGACTTAAAGAAAGGTAGATAAGATATTTGATAGTTAGGTAAAAGTCTTTTGAGCAATATAAGTACACCAAAGGCTGCAGAATAATTCCAGAGAAATCAAAGAAGGTAACCATAGAGATTATTTTCAAGTAAAAGAAACTCTAAGTTTCCAAATTGTCTTTATAAGTATAATCAAAATTTGTTATCATAACATAGAATTATAATGTATCCCCTATTTTCTATTTCCCTGGCTCCTTCTCTAAACCCCACGTAATGAATAGATACCAAATTCCTCACTGGCTTCCCACTGAAAGTAGATTCAGAATAAATTCCTTACCATGGTTTAAAGGCCCATCAATTTGCTCGCCAACTTCACTTGCATCCCTTCTTTCTCACGATGCTCCAGCTCCACCTGCCTTCTTACCTCCCCTAATACCCAGACTCATTCCCACCTACAGGCCTTGATTTATACTGTCCCCTGAGCCTGGAATGTTCTCTTCCCCATGGCTGACTCTTTCTCATCTTTTAGGTTACTTAGAGTTACCTTCTCAGACACTTCTTCTTTAAGTATTCTTTTATGCCTCTCCCTCCTCCTTTTTAAAATTGTTCTCAGTCTTCATCATAGAATGCAATACAGGTTTATTTGTTCAATGTCTATACCTCACAGGAATGTGAGTTCTGTGAGCACAGGGGACATAGTGCCTTGTTCACTGTCTCATTTCAGTGCTTGGCACAGGGACTAGGTTGAAGGGCTAACAGCTTTCATTATGTGCCAGGAACCATTCTTTGCAATTCATAAACATTAACTTGTGCAATCCTCACCTCACCCTTTTAGGTAGATACTAGTACTCTGAGCCCCATTTTACAGAAGGAAACTGACACATTCACTTCAGTGTCTCAAGCAGGTTGTACAAGGTCACAGAACTAGGAAGTGATTTCCAGGATTTAAACCCATGCAGTCTGGGTTTAGAGTCTTTACAACCCCAAGGACAGACTATTATTAAAGGCTCAAACTTCAAACAAAGATATGTGAGCTGACTGTACTTTTTCCATTTGCCTGGCTGATACCATTTTTAAGGAATAAAAACCTCTTTGAAAAAAATAAAGGAGATTCTCAGACAGTTCAGTTTACCAGTGTGTTGTGAGGGCTACAAGTCAAGTTCATTTACATGGTTACCATGGGAAAATTATAGCAGCAGCAAGCTGGAGAAATGAAAAGGAAGTTGAGCAAGATCCTGAAGTCATTGATAATGGCTCTGAATTAAGGAGTTCCTAGAAGCTCCACATAGGAGCTGGGAGGAGAACATCCCAACGGATTTTTGAATGAGGGCCAGGTAGAGGATTAAATGTCAGTAGAGGGTAGCTGATGTCACAGTTGTGGAAGTGACTACCTACATGTTAAAAGCTATGTTTTCATGAACTTAAATGTAGTCATTAAGAGACTTCAAACTGATGTTCTCTATAAATCAGTAAAATGCAAGGACATTCATGGTCATTTTAAAATTAAGGGAGAGCAAGAAAGAATTCAAATAGTGCAACAGGGATGCTTTTCTTTATTTCCACCTGAAGTTCTTAGCCAACCCTTCCACCTACTCCAAATTAGTATTAATTCACCTGCCAAAGAATAGGAAAATATTTATTATTTTTCTAGGCTAGCAATAAACCGATTTTGTTTTAAAATGAAGTGAAAAAACACATTTACTGCAGTACCTTGAGAGATAATATTAAAATTCTATACAAACATCTTCAGTTAATATTTATCAATCACATACAATGTGCCTTGTGCCACTTCAGTTAGAAACAGAATAACAAAGAGCACTCTGTCCTGCCCTGTAGGGCCCACAGTCCTAAAGAGAAATATGTTCGATGCCATGAACATAACGCTAGGAGAAGCAACAGAGGAGAGCACAGTCAAGTCTTCCCAGGTGTATGGGTGCTGTCATGTTGTAAGGTGGGGAATGATATCCCAGGGAGAGGGAAGAGAACGTGCAAAGGTACAGGGGTGTGACGAGCAAGGCTCATGTGGGGAGGTGAAAACAGTTCACTAAGGCTGAAGAAATAGATTATTAGAGCAATAAATTGACATAAATAAATAAGAGAAATAACTTCACAAAGAAGTTAGAGTTGAAGGCTGGAGCCAAACCCTGGAGATCCTGGTAATCATAATAAGACACTGGAAGTATCTTCTGCAAGTGGTGGGGATTCATTAAAGGATTCTAAATAGAGACTAAAACTAAAATATCATTTAGTCACCAAGCTCAAGAGTATGAAACTGGAGTCAGCATAGCCAATACTATTATTCCACTCTAAGCCAGAAATGATTTGGATATGAACTAAGACAGCACTTATTGATTCATCAATTCATGCTTTTAAAAATATTCACTAAATATTTCTTATTTTGGATGTTCTAGGCCTGGGGACACAGCAATGAACAATAAAGAAAAAAAGCTCTGTTGTCATGGAACTTAGAATCGATGATAAATAATTAAACAAACAAACATAATATTTCAAGTGGATGCAAGAAGGAGAAGAATACGGGGTGAGGGTTAAGAAAGTAATGGAAATAAGAAAAAGAAGAACTCAAGCAGAGAATTGAAATAAGTACAGGAGAAGGCCATAAAGATACTTGAGAATGGTGTTCCAGGCCAGGGAAGCAGGCACTGCCCCCCCACCCCCAAACAAAAAGACCTATTTACTGGAATATACTTAGTGTGTCTGAGAAACATCAAGGAAATGATATAGCCAGAGTGAGGTGGATGGTGGTGGTGAAGTCAGAGAGAGCAGGTGGGGTAGGAGGGTGGGGGTACAGATCTCTATGGACTTTCAGACCATGGTAAAACCTTGGTTTTCACTCTAAATGGGATGTACAGTCATTGGAGGGTTTCAGCAAATGAGTGAAATATAATACATATACAATCTACATCTAAAATATATAAAATCTGACTCAGGTTCTAGAAAGATCACTCTGGGTGGCAAGCTTAGGACTGGGAGGAGCAAAGACCAAAGACAGATAAATTAAGAATGACTGCATTACTGCAGGAGACTAAGATGGTAGCTGGGAAGATGTGAAAAGTGTTCAGATTCTCAACTTATTTTAAATGTAGAGCCAATCAGATTTGCTACTGGGTTGGAGGTCAGGAGTGAGAAAAAGAGAGGAGTAAAGGTGGCAGTGGAAATTTAGAGAAGATAATAAGTTTGAGAAATATACAGAAGGAAAGACTGTCAGGAATTACTGGGACTGAATGAGAGCTACTTGGGTTCGAACCCTAGAATCCTGACTTGGCCAGTTATAAGCGGTAGAGAAGAGGCAAGTCACTCAATTTCCATGAGCCTCAGTTGCTTCATAGAGGTGGAAATAATACCTGGGTATTTCTGGGGTGTAGTGAAGATCAGAGAGAATATATATAAACTGGGTCACTGTGTCTTTCCCACAATAGAAGCTCAACTAGATGATGCTATTGGTCATGGAAAAAGTGTCTGGCACGAGGCTCAGAGCTTTGGTTTGGGTTATTTGGAGATGGTGGAACCCTCAGAGAGATGTATAGGTAAAGGGAACATGCTGAGTGACTGAGAAGGCTGGAGAGATACTGATTTCAGTCTCAAATATAGGAGAGAAGTCTTACAGGCAGCTTCAAAATATCTGCAGAGAGTTCAAAAGAGAAATCTAGGCAGCAGAAAGAGAGATTTGGAAGTCATCATCATAGGGATAGTAGCAAAGATACTAGAAGCTCAATAGCTATGGCATGCCAGGGGAACTGCATGGCATGGAATGACTGCGCTGAAGGGGCTAGTGTTGATGAGTGAAGTGGCATTTGAGCAAAATTATAAAGAACTGAGATAAACATATATCAGTTTTTTCTTCACAATTTCGCTCAAACACAACTCAAACATCATCTGTGTGTGTGTGTGTGCGTGTGTGTGTGTATGTGTGTGTGTATGTGTGAGAATGCCAGGCAGTGTGAACAAGAGATAGAGAAGACTTTCCAGGCAGAGGATTAGTGCATGGAGCCACACGGAACAAGGGACAGAGATGCAGAATGGCATCAATGCTTTAGGAAACTCAGTGTTGGTACAAATAAAATGCAGAGTACTGACAGATAAGAGATTATTAAGATTTTAATAATAAGAATTGACAAAAACCAGAATAACTTTTCAGTCAAGTAAGAAGGTAGATTTTACCCTATGGGTTGTGAGACACTATCACAGAGAAGCACATGATTAGGTTTACTTTGAGACAATCACACTGGGATGTTACTACTGACCCCTGAGAATTTAAAAGGATTTTAAGAGAATACTATGAACTGTATGCCAACGAATTAGATTACATAGATGAAATGAACAAGTTCCTAAAGCACACAAATAACTAAAACTGATTCAAGAAGAAATAGAAAAACTCCAGAGACCAGGAACAAGAGATTGTATAAAAACAAAACAAAACAAAACAAAACACACACACACACACACACACACACACACACACACACACACACACACAAAACTTCCCAAAAAAGAAAAGTCTGAAACCAGACTTTTAAATTCCACCAAACATTTAAAGATGAATTAACACTAATCCCCTCAAATTCTCCCAAAAAAACAAAGAAGAGGGAATACTTCCTAATTTATTCTGTGAGGCCAGCATTATCTTAATACCAGAGCCAGGCCAATATCCCCTTTGAATATAGATGCAAAAATCTTCAAACAAAAAACAAAAACTCTAATTAGCCAAATTCAAAGGCATATTAAAAGGATTACAAGTCATGACCAAATGAGATTTATCCAGACTGTAATGGTAGTTCAACATAAGAAAATCAAACAATGTAATACATCACATTAACAGAACAAAAGATAAAAAAAAATTATCATCTCAGTTGATGAAGGAAAGCCTTTGACAAAATCCAACACCCTGTCTTGATAAAAATACTGAAAACTAGGATAGAAGGGAGCCTCCTCAACATAATAAAGGGCATTTATAAAAAACTCAAAGCTAACATCACATTGAATGGTGAAAAACTGAAAAATAATGCAAAAAAATGGACCCCTACACTTCACACTATATTCAAGAAATTAAAACAGATCAAAGACCTAAATGTAAGAGCTAAAACTATCAAACTCTTAGAAAAAAACAGGAGAGTAAATCTTCATGACCTTGAAATTGACAGTTCTTGGATCTGACACCAAAAGCATGTTGAGAAAAGGGAAAGAAAAAAAAAACACCAGATAAATTGGACTTCAACATTGAAACTTTCTTTTTTAAGATTTTATTTTTTTAAGTAATCTCTGCATCCAAAGTAGGGCTCAAACTCATAACCACCAGATCAAGAGTCGCATGCTCTACTGACTGAGCCAGCCAGGCACCGCCAACACTGAAAGGTTTTGTGCATCAAAGGATATTACTAAAAGAGTGAAAAGATAACTTATGGAATGTAAGAAGATGTCTAGTATCTAGAATATCCAAAGAACTCTTACATTCAACAACAAAAAGACAACAAAATTTTAAAATGGGAAGAAGACTTGAATAGATACTTCTCCAGAAAAGATACAAATGCCAACAAACAAGTAGATAGAAAGATGCTCAATATTATTAATCCTCTGGGAACTTTAAATCAAAGCCACAATGAGATATCACTTCACATGCCCTAAGGTGACTATAATTTTAAGAACAAAAATTACAAGCGTTGACAAAGATGTGGAAAAATTTGTATTCTTGGGCATTGCTAGTGGGAATATAAAATGGTGCAGCTACTATGAAAAACAATACAGCAGTTCCTTGAAAAATCAAACAGAATCAACATATGACACAGCAATTCTCCTCCTAGGTATATGCCCCAAAGAATTTAAAACAGGTAATTAAATACCTGTATGCACATGTTTGTCTCAGAGCAATTCACAATAGCCAAAAGGGAGAAACAACCCAAATGTGCATCAATTATGAATAGATAAACTGTGGTATATACATACAATGGAATATCATTCAGCATAAAAGGGAATGATGTACTGATACATGCTATGATGCAGATAAACCCTGAAAACATTATGCTAACTAAAAGAATCCAGTTACAAAGGTCGCATCCTATATGATTCATTTACATGAAATATCCAGAATAGGTAAATCTATTGAAATGAAAGAAGATTGGTAGTTGTCAGGGTCTGTGGAGAGTAGGGAATAACTCCTTAATGGGTATGGAATTTTATTTTGGGACATTAAAGTCTGAGCACGAGATAGAGGTGATAGTTGTACAACGTAGTTAATGTACTCAATGCCAGTGAATTGTTCACTTTAAAATGACTGATTTTATGTTATGTGAATTTCATCTCAATTAAAAAATAAAAACCATTACCTTGGCAGGGTGGAGAATACATACACTGGAGATGGAATGTAATAAAACACAGGGAGGGTGCAGGCTATGCACTGCTAGTGGGACTAGAAACTGAGAGGAAGTAATAGATTTGAGTGTCATTTAGGAAGGAGAAAGACTGGGAATGCGTGAGAAAGGATAACTTCTTTCCAGAATGAGTAGGTTATAAAAGGGTAAGATTTTGGAACAAAGACAACCAGTTCTCTCTACTGAGCAGGCTGCATTTCAGAGAGGTTTCAGAGGCAGTGGATCTCTACTCAATGGACCGGTCTGAGCCACAGATAAGGATCAGAGAGTTTTGAAAATAGGATAGAAATAGATGAGATAGAAGTAAATAGAAAAAATCATGCTTGTAACATTACAGTTTTTTTTTAAATAACATCATGGTCCAGTTTAGCTTAGGAAGTAGTCAACAAAAATATTTAGCATAAATGAAAGATGAGTTGAATGTGATAGTAGGAAGGTGTCCTTCACAGTTAATATTTAATTTCTGTGTCCCATCAGTTGTTTGTGTAGCTGTACAATTAAGTAATCTAAACAGGTTTTGCCTATATGAAAATGTTTCCAATTTAAGCACAAATGAATTAAACCAAATGAAATTATGAAGCTAAGGCTGTACCTCCGTTTCAGGATAGAGCTCTACATGTGTACATTTCTTTCTCTCCAAGTACTTCTTGCCTTAAAGAAGTTCACTGTTCATATAGGTATTTTTATGAGTAGGCCCAATGGGAGTACATTGTTGCCTTAACCTTACCACCAAAAGTTTCATGGAAGGACAAGCAAAACATCTTGTGTTTGTGAGTTTCCTTTCATGTGGACTGCTTACCCCATACTTTATCCGTTGGGATATGCCAATGGGACGAAGTCCTTGAGTTTCCCTCCACATTTAAAGAGAATTCCACTGTGCAATTTCACACACTACAACTTTAATGCTTCTTCTTCTTCTACTGAGCTACATTAATACTCTTCTTGCTATTCTTATGTTAGAAATAAGCATCCAAGTGTTTTCTCTAAAGCCTGTGTCAATCTTCTGTCAACGGTCAATCTTGCACAGAATCATGACACTGTGCATCAAGAAACCAGTTTTTTTCCTTAATTAATTAATGCTCAGATTAATTTTACTGACAGTGGTAGTATTTTTCCTTTCATAAATAGTGTAAACAACTATGTTGATAATTTCATTTCAATTCAAATGTCATAAGCAGAAAATCTAAACAATTAGCAATATTATTTAAACAAAGGAGTTTGTTCATGTTTTAGAATTTCATGGTTAGGCTGCAACAAAATAAATAATATCTACGACCAGTTAAATCTCTGGTTTAAGCGTCATTAACCTGTCAAAGATATGGGTAGACACATGAAAGCTGCCTTGAATCATCATGCACCTATACCTTGAAAGAACTCAATTGCATTAAAAAAGGGTACAAGCGTGCCTTGAAGAAAATCAGAGTTTATTTGCTGCCAGCAAACTAGGATGAACCAAATTACTACAAAGTGGTTACATGGATTATTCAATCACAAGATACAAGCAGCACAAGACATTAATAGAAAGACCAGCACTGCAAAACGCAAACACACACTCATACATACACACACAGATGCACAGACACAGACACGCACACACACTTCCAGCATGTCTGTTACTGGAGGACACTGGGGAAAGAAAAGAGAAACCAAACTCACATCACACTGAAAAGGCTTTTCTCCAGTGTGCGTCCTCTTGTGCTCATCCAGGCCTCGCTTCTGGCTGAAGGCTTTGCTGCACTCTGAGCACTTGTATGGCTTCTCCTGCAGTCAATGGAAAGAGAGTGCCATGAATGTGAGTGAACTTAGAGCCCTCCTTACTAAGGTGTATGGGGGGGGGTGGTATTTTATCTAGTTCTGTAGGGTGCCGCAGCAAATCCAGAGGGGTGCCATGAGTTATTTTAAATGTTCAGGAGAAATAGCACTACTCAACATCTGCTGGACAAATTGAACTACTTGGCTCATGGCAGTTCAGTTCCAACATTAGATTATACAACAGTTCTTTTAATTATGTCATACCTTTGCAAGGCATGGTATACATGTATACCATGTATACAAGGTTCTGAATGATAGACATGATCTAACTACTAAAAGAACTGAACTCTTAGGTTTTCTTTTGGTCTTGGCGGGCTGCAAAAATTTACTGAGATACTAAGGGCATCATGGACCAAGAGAGTTTGGGACCCCTGATCTAGATGGTGCAAATTGTTTACTATCTCAGAGGAATTCCTGGGAATGAAAACTTCAGAAAAAAATTGTCACCAGATTTTGGGGGTGAGTTTAAAAAACTATAGCTCAACTGTGATTTAAGTATTTTCATTTCTATTGCTCAATCTTTCTTTCCTAGGTAGAATATTCTTTTATAAAATCTGTTACTTTTTTAAATGAGGCATTTTTAAATTGTTTGTCACAGACTCATAAGGAAAAATAACATCTCCACAGGAAAAGAAAAAATGTCCACATTCCTTAGCCACCTTTGATACCAGGTACTTATATCACCATTCTTTTCACTTGGAAAGAACTGCAAAATACATTGTTCCATTAAAACAGCTCGTGAAAAAAAAAACAAAACCTAAAAACAGCTGGTCATTATGAAACAGTGCATAAATAAAAATATTTGAGGAAAAAAATAAGATTTGTTTAAAGTAGACTTGCAATGAGATTTTTTCCCAAATACATCTTCAAAAATGTTATAGTTTTTTTTTTTTAAATTGAGGTAGTGTGTGTGTATCTAATTTCCTGTTATGTGGACAAGTTCCATGCATATTTTCTCCTTAGTATTTAAAAGAGTATTATAAACATTTCCAGACCTACAAAACCAAACCAACATGTGTGTGTCTACCAGCTAGCTCTTAAGGAATCAAACATTACCAGTACATGCCTCTCAACGCACCTGTACCCCCACTACTTGACTGCAGCACTGGTCCATGTCCTCAGAGGTGACCACTGTGCTGGACATGTTGCTTAACGTTCCCTTGCTTTTCTCTACATTTTTTACTGCACATGTATGGAAGGATCTCTAAGTAAGACATAGTATTATTTTGCCTTTTAAACTTATTTAAATAGATACTATTTACATACATACTGTATGTAAACTCTGCGAGTTCTTTTGAAATTGACTTATTTTTGTTCAACATTATCTTTATGAGCTTCTAGTCCCCAATTTCATTTTGTGAACACATGTTGTTCCTAATCATTCATTTTTAATACCATATTACATTCAATGGCTATACCCCAATTTGCTTATATACATTGTCGAGTGATGAGTAGTTCATGTTTTTCCAATTTTTCACTCTTACAAATAACATTGCTCTGGATTTTTTTTGTACATGTATACTTGAATGCAGAAATGTAATCCCCTGTGGTATTTTAGCTAGAAGTGGGATTGCACCTTCAACTTTTCTAGGAATGGCCAAACTCTACAGAGTGGATAAACCATTTAACACTCCAACATTCCAGTATATTCTTATAATTCTATCACTGTATTTTGCAAATTTTGAGACTCATGAGGAACATGATGAGTATATATAAGTTTAAAACTCTTATGTTCCTAGAAAATAGGATCTTTTATCATTTTGAAGTAATCTTTATCTGTAATAATTCTTTTTACTTTAAAATTAATTTGGTCTTAATATACCTGTAAAAGCTTTTTAAAATTAGTATTTGATGGGCGGTAGGGAAATTGGGGAGATGTTGGTCAAAGGGTACAAATTTGCAGTTAGAAGTTCTGGAGACCTAATGCACAGAATTGTGATTTATAGTGAACAATACCATAGGATGTATTTTAAAGTTGCAAAGAGACTAGATCTTAAATGTTCTCACCATCTCTGTACACACGCACACACACAAAGGTAATTACGAGACATGACGGAGGTTTAGCTAACACTATGGTGGTAATCGTATTGCAATATATAAATGTATCAAATCAATACTTGCATCCTCTGAATGTATATAATGTTATACATCAATTATACCTTAGTTTAAAAGAAAGAGAAAAAAATAAAGTAAAATTAGTGTTTGCCTGGTATATTCATCTTTTAACTTTCAAACAGTCTATATCCTTAGGTATGAGGAGTGTCTCCATAAACAGTATCCAACTGGATTTTTTTAACCTATGCTTATATCATTGTTTTTAAGGTAGCAAGTTTTGCCTCTTAATATTCATTATTATTCATTTCATTTATAATATAATTACTGTTATAATAAATACATTAGGTATATTTATCTATTAATATTTGTTATTAAAAATATACTTGAATATATTTCTAACATTTTATTTTGTGCATTGCTTTTATCTTGCTTATCTTCTCAGGTTTTTTTCCCCTATATTTTCTTGTATGTTTTGGATTGATGATTTCCCCCCCATATTATCACAGAAGTTATGAACACTATTTCTCTTAGTGGTTATCCTTAACAATTCTACCATGTACATTTAACACAATCTAAAATGTATCTGTATGTTTTCCCTCCTACTGAATAACAAGTCCTGAAGAATGTTCCCGTCTTACACATTATGTGTAACAGTATTTTACTGATTTTTAATGCCCGATATGGAATCATTATTACTTTATACAACAGTGCAGTTCAGTTTTATACACACTTAACAATCTCTTTACTTTTCATGCTTTCTTATCTGACCTTCAGAGGATCTGATGATGGTAAATTCTGTTTTTATTTGTTTGAAAATGACTTTGTGTCTCATTTGTTATTAAGTGAAAGTCTACAAATCCAATTAGATGTATAACAAACTCTATTTTTCACATCTTAACCATTTCCATCTCCTTGTATTGCACCATATGTAATTTCTTTAGACTCAGTTGATCAATTATCTTCCGGTAGGAATAACTTGTTAATAGGATCACTTTAATTTCCATTATATTTTAAATTTTTATAAGTTATTTGGTTCTTTTCAATTATGCTTAATTTTTGATAAAATCTTATTTTTTACTCATGTTGCTTATGTCTATTTAAAAAATATTCTAGACATTTGTATAATTTACCTCATCTGATAAATCATTAAGTTTTTTGGAAAACTAATTCTGCTATTTGTGGTTTCTCCTGTCTCCTGCTCATGGCTCTTGTTTCCTTGGATGTTTCTGGAATTTGGAATCATGGGCTCATGTTTGGTGGTCTTTATCTGTTAAAATTCTGTGACCCCTAGGTTGAGGGTAAGTCCCTCCAGACAGCATTTGTGTTTGCTTCTGCCAGGCATTCTGGGATGCTATCAATCAAAGACCATTTTAAGTTTATTTCTTGCCTTAGGGTTTTCTGGTCAGGGAAGCATTTTAAGTCTGAACTCTAAACACACTTGAGAGAAAGACTGTGGTTACAAACTCTAGGGAGAACTCTTTTTCTCTAGCCAGCAATTACTCTGAGACAGTTAAATGTCGCAAGCACCTCCATTTGCCAAAGGTAGATTATTTCCAGTTCCTGATTTCATTTTGAGTATCGCTTTTCTAGGGTCCCCACATTGTGGTGGGATGTGGTTCCATCTTGCCCTATAACCTAAGCCCAGAGCTTGCCTCCCTTTCCATCACCATTAAAAACCACCTTGAATTTACAGATACTGGCAAACACCCTGAAAGTGTTCTCATTCTCAACTCTGGCATTTGGCTGCAGTTTGCTTTGCTGGATCCCGGGGATTACTGTTACTTTTTTTTATTCACAAGTTCAGATATTTGCTATTTACTTTATTATATCCAGTGTGAATAGGTGTTTTGTATAGGGTCTCTTTATTTTAAATGACTGTTCAAAGTTAACAGAAAAACACTGCATTTTCTTGGCAGTCCAAAAAATATGTTTACTGTGTTCATTTAGTCTAAACACAATCTCTTTTCACATATCGCATGGTCTTTGGTGCCTATTACTTCTTCAAATATTGCCCAGTTCTTTAAAAAAAACAAACAAACAAAACTTGAAAATGTAGTTGTATTTAAATCAGAAATTTCTTGGAGTTGCTGGAACTTTTACGATATCCAAACAGTTTACCTAAACTTATATTTTAAAAACATATAAAGATATATCAATACGATGTATACAAAAAGAAAAAAAAGGAAAGCTCTTCTCCCTACAATTTATCTACGAAACCAGATCTTATAAAGAAGTAAGATGCACATCACTGTGGCAGCTGCAATGACAGGTAAGTGTCTGGCAGGGAACAACCTAAGACAGGACCAGTTATCTGGATGACATCCTAAGAGAGTGATGGGAAGTTTCCAGGAGGAAAAGGCAGTGAAAAACAAGGTCTGAGCATCACTGATTAAGAACACCCTTCTCATTCATTCTTAAATTTCTTCTTAGCAGGTCCTGTCTAGGGAAGCATCCTACAGTGCCCCATGGATACTGAGAAAGGTTCCAAGCCAGTGTATGGAGATTCCGGCAAGGCACAGGGGTTTTGCAGTTATCACAAGAGTTTTCAAAAACCCAAATATGTATTATGCATTGGCTTGGATTGAATAAATAATGTTTTACACACACACACACACACACACACACACACACACACACACACACATTCACCCAGTCATATACTGGTATTTTTCAAATGTTTATTAAGTACTATTGGAGATTACTTCAACACACTTTATTTACAAATGTCACTGAAATTATACTACCTTCACTTATTCATTTTTTCCTATAAAAGACATTAAAGAGGGCACATACTGCATGGAGCACTGGGTGTTATATGCAAACAATGAATCATGGAACACCACATCAAAAACTAATGATGTAATGTATGGTGATTAACATAATCTAATAAAAAA